AAGCTCTGGGCCAGTGGCAGTCCTGGGCCAGTGGATACGGCCGGTGGCGCTGGCTGTGCCCCGCTGGCCCTGTCCCACTGTCCCTGCCCCGTGCCCCTGCCCCTGCCCCGTGTCCCTGCCCCGTGTCCCTGCCCCGTGTCCCTGCCCCGTGTCCCTGCCCCGGCTCAGGACGGAAGGGCCGGCCGGTACCTGGTAGTCCTGGTCGTCGATCCCGAAGCGCTCCCGCAGGTTCCGGAACACCAGCGGACAGTACTCCTTGAACTTGAAACGGCTCGGCAGGTTCTCCCTAGGGCAGGGGACATGTGTGCGGCCATCAGCACTGATCGGTATTGATCGGTATTGATCGGTATTGATCAGCAGTGATTGGTATTGATCGGTATTGATCAGCATTGATCAGTATTGATTGGCATTGATCGGTACTGATCAGTATTGATCAGTGACCAGCAGTGATCAGATTTGATCAGCATTGATCAGCATTGATCAGCAGTGATCACCATTGATCACCATTGATCAGCATTGACCAGCAGTGACCAGCATTGATCAGTATTGGTCAGCAGTGATCACCATTGATCAGTATTGACTAGCACTGATCAGTATTGATCAGCAGTGCAATCCAGGTCCCCGCTGGCTCCCTGCCACCCCTCGTTAGGGCAGCTCTCTCCTTTGGCTGCCCACGGGATCCATCTCTTGCAGGAAATTCCACAGGCTCTGCACCCGCAGGGCCGGGATGGTGAGTGAGGAGAACAATCCCACACCTGAGGGGACCACGGCTGCCTGTGCCCCTCCTCGGTGGCTCTGTCACAGTGTCACAGCTGTCCCTGCAGACGCTGTCACTGTCACACACTGTCCCTGCACACGCTGTCACACAGCTGTCCCTGCACACACTGTCACACAGCTGTCCCCACACGCTGTCACTGTCACACAGCTGTCACTGTCATACAGCTGTCCCTGCACACAGCTGTCCTCACACACTGTCACACAGCTGTCCCCACACACACTGTCACACAGCTGTCACTGTCATACATTGTCCCTGCACACAGCTGTCCACACACGCTGCCACTGCTGTCCCCACACGCTGTCACCGCTGTCCCCACACACTGTCACACAGGGCAGGAGCTCGTGCCCAGCCACGCCGGATCCTCCTGGGAACACAGCTGGGAACAGCCCAGAAGCCTCCCCCAGGCCAGTCTGCCCCACAGCCCAGAGCTCTGACCACGGAGAAGTTGGGAAGCTCCCACTTACTTGTTGAATAGATGATTGTCCACCTTAATCTTACTGTAGGCTTTAAAGTCATCGGGCATTAACATGACGGGGACGGGAACATTGCTGAGCTCATTGATCTGCAGGAGAAAGGAAAGGGAGACTCAAACCCAGCTCCCACTGCCCTGGGGAGCTGCAGGAATGCCCAGCACCCCAGGGGATGGGTTGGGGACACCGTGACACGACACAGGAGCAGCTGGGGAACGCTGAGGTGGCAGGTCACAGCAGCACCTCGTTCCTCCACGTGGTGAATCCTCCTGAGACACTGACCAGCTGAGAAGCCACACGAACCCAGGGGCCAAGAACCAGCAGATTTTATGTTTTAACTCAACCACCTCGCTGAGAAAATGCTCCGATTTCTTAAAGATTCCTGCTCCAAAGCAGGATGACCAAAGCCTTTGGTGCAGCCCAGCCCAGCTCCCCACGGATGCCGTTTCCATGCTGGCTGTCTCCTGCTGCTCCCATCCCACCTTCCCTGGAGGGATGAGTCACTCACTAGATTGTTTTTGCTCCTTAGTCATGTGTGGCAGCCACAGGAGCCCGGGGAAGCAGGAGAATGAATGTTCAGCTACTATTGTACAGACGGGCTCGCGCTGCAGCACCCAGCGGTGGCAGCGTGAAAAATAATAATAATATCATAATAATCATGAAAAAGAACCGCCTCTGGACTGTGTCTGGCTGCCCTGATCCAGTCACTGCAGTCACTGACAGGGCTGTGCCAGAATCAAGAGCAGGTCAGGAGGTTTCTGAGCTGCTTTTTCCGAGGACAGCCCCGGTGCCACCCCCTCCCAGGGACTCCTCGCAGCCCCATCTCACTGAACTCTGTTACCAGCCTGGATTTAGGCAGCAATTCCATTCCAGCTGTTCCCATGGCTGCTGTGCCAAGCAGGTGGTGCTGGAGAGGGAGGCAGACAGCGCTGGCAGCAGCGGGGTTTGGCTCCCAGACAGCTCTGGGGGCTGTTCCCAGCACCAAAACCAGGCAGGCCAACTGGGAATGCTGCTGGAAAAACTTCCCTGCTGGCTGGGAGCAGGGGCCAGGCTCAGGAAAGGGACCCAGCCCTGGGATTCCCCATTCCCTGTGAGCAGCAGGACACACAGCACTGCCCAAAGCACTGTCACATCCCCGCTGGGCTCCGTGCCGCCAGCCAATTCCGTGGTGTTCATCCCACCCCTTCCCCATCGTTACCACGACAAACCAGATTTAACACACGGCAGACTGGGAAGAAAGACACATCCCGGTGCCAGGAGGGAAGGTGGCTATTTTCAGATCCAGCCATCCCACACAACAGATCAGCGGGAAGCGAAGCTCCTGGAGGGAGCGGAGATGGAGCTCTGCAAAGCCCTGCCCTGCACTCCCCTCCCATCCAGCTGATGCCTTAAGTTTGAGCTTTTTATTTTTCAGTGTTTTATTTCAGTATTTTTATTTTTCACTGATCCCTGTGCTGGGTTAGTGTATGACTCTGAGCTCCACACAGAGTGCTGGGCTCATCACAGACAAAACAATCCTTCCAGGCCTGAGAACCAAGATCATCATCGCAACCTCAGGCCTGGAAAGTGTAAACCAAAAGTGAATCCAACTGGGGGATTGTGACTTCATCACCTGAAGCTGTTAATTGGACAATTAACCCCCTGATATGCAAATAGACCAAGCTTATATCTGCCCAAAAATCTCGTGGCTGTGTCCATCTCGTGGCTGTGTCCATCCTGGGTGGAGCGAGGCTCCTGCACTGCCCAAGGTGAATCTGCCACAGGCCTTTAATAAATACCCACTTTGACTCTGTCCAGCCTCTGCTCCAGGTATCCAGCCCAAGGCATTCCACAAACCCTCTGGGATGTAGGGAAAAATAAGGATGGATAAATAAATCATGGCACACATCTCCCAGCGGCAGCAATCCCCGAGCAGGGAGGGGCCGGTGCCCCCCGGTTTCAGCTCAATCCTGCATCCAGCCAACCCTTGAGCCAGAGGGGAGGGAAAAGGGAAAACTCCAGGTGAGGAAGGGATCTCCCAGATCAGAGTCCCACGCAGAGATTTCCCTTCGGGGCGAGGAGAAAAACAACTCATTCTGCACCGAGACAGAGGCGCTGCCTCCAGCCACTAATTATTGCTGTCTGCCAGGAGGGGAAGCCTGACAGCTCCTGCCACACGCCTGCTCCCATCCCAGCCTGCTCCCAGCCCTTTTCCCGGCGTGGGGAAGGCACAAACAAGCCATTATCAGCTCCATGCCGAGCGGAGGAAGGGTGCTGACGGCTGAGAGGGAACAGCGATTCGGAGGCTGCCTCCTCGCTGGCAGCAATTCAGACACAAATGTGCCCTCGTTTCTGCCACGGCACGAAGCTCAAAGCCAGCGTGGGACCTGTTGCGAGGCTCCTGAGCAGCAGAAATGCTGCACCAGGGTTGCTCCGGCTGATTTCGGAGGTGCCACCGCTCCTCGAGAGATGAGGCAGCCCCAAAAATCCCACCTGTGGAAGCCTTTCCCTGCTTCCAGCAGAGCTTGATGGAGGATTTGGGGTTCTGGCTCTGGAGGAGAGGGAAAAGGGATGGGGATGTGCTGGGCTCCCAGATGAGGATGAAGGGTTGGATTTGGGATTCTGGCTCTGGAGGAGAGAGGGAAAAGGGATGGGGATGTGCTGGGCTCCCAGATGAGGATGAAGGGTTGGATTTGGGATTCTGGCTCTGGAGGAGAGAGGCACACAGAGAAGGAAGGGAGCCATGCTGGGCTCCCAGATGAGGATGAAGAGCTGGATTTGGGATTCTGGCTCTGGAGGACACACAGAGAAGGAAGGGAGCCATGCTGGGCTCCCAGATGAGGATGAAGGGTTGGACCGGTCATTTCCAAACCCAGCAGTGCCCACCTGCCCTCCCCCCGGGCAGCTCTGGGGCAGTGCTCACTGGGTCCCTGCTCCTGGCACCAGTCTGGAACAAAACACTGATTTGTTTAGTTTTGTTGCTACATTGTTTTTTTTAATTTTTTTTTTGTTGTTTAAGCCCCGTGTGCTGCCACAGCAACAGCCACGCCTGACGCTTTCCCACGGGAGAGGGAGCGCCGCAGTCCCTCCTGCCCAGAGCTCCCATTTCCCAGCGCAGACCCCCGGGAGGGACCATCCCAAAGAGATTTTTTTGGCATTTTGCAGGGATGGGGCTGGTCCTGCCGCTCACCGAGGGCTGGGACATGCCCCGGGGCTCTCAGGATTTCGGACAAACCTGCTGCCACAAAAACCCTTCCCGTTTTTTTCCGGCTTTGCCACATCCTGGGAATAAAGGAGCGATTCCCAGGCAGTGTCCAGAGCCAGAGGGATCAGAGCTGCCCAATCCCAGATGAACAGAGGGAAAAGCAGCTGGATCCCAACAAAGATCAGAGCAGGAGGTGAGGGAGGGAAAAACCTCTGCCCAGATCCTTCATCATCCTCAGCACAACCCAGCTCTGCAGGGCTGCAGAAAACACCTCCTCCCTTCCCTCTGCCAAGCTTTTCCTTCCTGGTCATTGGAATTCTTCAGCAGGGCTGTGGTTTGATGATTTCTCTTCTCCACCAAAGCCAACTCCTTTCCCAATAAAAGCCACATCAATATTCCGTGTCATTCAGGGACAGCTGCTGGCATGAACAGGCCAGGAATAATTTTGTTTCAAAACCTGCCTCAAAGTGGCAATTAGCATTAGTAAATTGATGGGGAAATGCCATTTGTTTACTAACAAGATGCAGCTGATGGAGTGCATGAGCCCCACTCTCTCCGGGATTCTTTGCCACGGGAATTTATTCGGGAAAAATAAAGATACTTTGTTCCCCTCAAAGCTTTCCAATCAGGCATCTCCGGGAATCTTCAACTTCATTATGCTCTGGGGAAGGAGGTGAAAGGCACGTGGGAAAATCACTTCAGCGTGCAGACAAACCCACAGCTGCAAAACTTTGCAGCAACTGGGCGATGGTTTGAGGAAAAAAACCTGGTTTTCCATGAATTAGAGCATGATTAATCAGTATCCACGCTAAGAACTGAGGGAAGAGTGAATCTTGTAGGCAGCAATTCCTCTGGGGACACCAGGATGGGGGGAAAAAACATCCCCTGGTTACAGCAAATCCATTTATCCCTAAAAAAAAAGTATTTGGGAAGCTGCTGGAAAGGATTCCTGGCAGTGCCACCCTCCTGTCCCCAGTCCTGTCAGCCCCAGGGGCACTGGGAAGCATCCCAGTCCTCCCAGAGCTGATGTTCCAGCCCAAAAAAAGGTGAGGAATGGGAATATTCAACAAGCAGCCCGTGGCCAGCGGAAATGAGCAGGGAAACGAGCATAGGAACCAGCCAGGAAAATCTCATTTTTCCTTCCAAAAAGGAAAAAGGCTCCTGGATTGTGCATTTGAAGAGGAAAAGGCTCCTGCAATGTGGGTTTGAACAGGAAAAGGCTCCTGGATTATGGATTTGAATGGGAAAAGGCTCCTGGATCGCGGATTTGAATGGGAAAAGGCTCCTGGATCATGGACTTGGATGGGAAAAAAAATCCACCTCCTGGATGGTGGATTTGAACAGGAAAAGGCTCCTGGATTATGGATTTGAAGGGAAAAGAGCTCCTGGAATGTGGATTTGAAGGGGAAAAGGATCCTGGATGGTGGATTTGAAGGGGAAAAGGCTCCTGGAATGTGGATTTGAAGGGGAAAAGGCTCCTGGATCATGGATTTGCACAGGAGCTCCAGGCTGGGCAGGTTGGGAGCCAGGCCCTCGCTCATTCCAGGGCACGGCCGTGGCCATATGCTGCTCTCTCCAGAGGTCAATTAGACCTTCCCTGGGCTGGGAAGGGCGAGATCCAGGCTGTTCCCAGCGTGCCAGGAGCAATTTCTGGGATGTGAGCGTTTGATATGTGGCAGATGCTGCTCTGGCAGGCAGGGCTGCGGAGCGGGGAGCGCCGTGCTGCCATTCCCAGCGCCGCCGTTTCCCTGGAATACTAACGAGCTGTGCTCCGTGCTGGCACCGCTCCTGAGGGCCTGGGAGATGGCTGCTGCTCCAGCCAGGAATCTGAGCCTCTGGAGAAGCCTCAGGCAAGATCCACGCAGCCAAAAGATCGCCCCATTCCCATAAAAACGGGATGTTTGTGCCTTCCCCCTGCTTTCCAGAGCTGCTGGAATCTTTTCCAGCTGAGGAAGCGGCAATTTGGGATCTGTAAATCTGGGATCAAACCCTGGGATCCCAGAGCCTGCCATCAGCAGCACCTTACAACCGTTTCCATGGTTCCCAGAGCATCACACAACACTGTGCTCATCTCTCTCTCTCTGCCTGGCAGGCGGCTGCTCCCTTCCAGAACCATCCCAACTTTCCCATCCCGTGCACGTGGATCCATGCAGGGCATGGAAAACACACCTGGAGCAGCAGAGCCGGAGCACCACAACCCCCAGGAGCTCCTCTCCCAGTGCCATGACAACGGCAGAAGCTTCCCCAGGAGCCGTCCCCACCTCTGCTGGATTCAGGGTCTGACAGAGAACTCGCAAATGGAGGCTGAGCCTCGGTGGCTCCACTTTCACACGAGCTCTCCCCTCCCCTCCATGGCGTTTCTGGTCCAAAATTCAAATTGTTTGAGTCATACCACCCCCGTTTGGCCCTGCTC